ACTCTTCCATATTCATCTGGTCCAAGAGCACAAAATATGATATGGATGGCTTTGGAGTTGAGCTGGAACATTCTTATATCTCCTTCACTCCACAATCTTGGATGAGTGAGAGGCTCGATGTATCATTCTTCTACGGCATTCCATGCTCCCATGTCACTTGTTTGAATGAAGTACATCATCCTATTTTTCCAATAGGCATAGTTTGCTCCATTGAAGAAAGGAGGCTTGTTGACGGGCATCGAATAGAGACCGGAGTCAAAATTTGAAGCGGAGGCCATTGATGACTTGATAATCGATGTAACTCTTCTCGAATCGACTCAAGAGGTGATTAAACCTCAAATAAGTGAGGATATGATACCAATTGTTGAGTTAATAGATCGATGGAATCGGCCAAGAGGGGGGTGAATTGGCAATAAAAAATTTGGTGGAAGCTTTTGCAGAAAATTGAAAGTAATTGCACGGCGATTTACAGTCATTCGACTTTATCAACCAAAGTCTACGTCCACTACCTTAACTATCCACACTAAGGATTTTCCAACAAATTCACTAATTTGTTCTTTCTTTTAAGGCCAAAGAGATAACCTTACAACTCCCTCAAGAATATACCCAATTCTTGAGAACACTCTTTTCTTAAAGAGAAGATTACAAATTTGCAAACTTACAAGAAAAAACCTCACAAGGCAAATATGTTTGCACAATTCTAGAACAAAGAAAGAACATTCAAGAATAAATACAATTGAGCACAATAAGTGTTCTTGAAAGCAAAATGAATATTGAATGAAAAATAGGCTTGAAATGCTCAAACTTGAGGTTTGATGCTTTCTCTTTGATTCTCTCTTGATTCTAATTGTTTGATGTTTCTTATTGTTGATCAATGGCTTCTAAGCTTGTTTAAATACACCTTCAAATGATTCTGAACGTTTGGGATGCTTAGTGGAGTCAATATAGCCGTTTAAGTGTGAAAGCAATTAATAAAATCAGTTGGGAACGTCAGCTTGGAAATGATTCTACAAACTCAAAAACCTAAAAATCCATCAACTATTTCATAAACCCTAATATGAACATAAACCCTAGGATCCCAGATCTTTGAACTTAAGAAAGATTAGCATGCAATAATGATACCAAATGATATAGCTCATATAATAGAAAAATTTTCTATTTCACATCTTAATCCAAAAACTTAATAAATTGGCTTAAAAATGAAAATAAAAATTCTCTTACCTAGGGTATGAAGGCCACGAAATGGAGGAGAAAGATGACCAAGTTTTCATGAAATTTTAGTTAATCTCATGTTAATTTATCGTGTATTTAAGCTTAAATGAATATAAAATTCATTTAATGAGAAATGACAAATTTACCATTAATGAAACTTGATAATTACATCCATACCAAGCCACATAACCCTTATAATCTTTATAAAGTCAAATATAAACAAATTAATTTATCCTTTACAACTTTGCCCATGCAACTTTTTCAAAATTTCAATATTGCCATTTTTCATCCAACGATCCAAATTAAACATGGAAATTATTTCTCAAATCCAATACTCTATATTATTTTCATAATTTTAAATGTAGAAATAATATTTCTAAGCTTAATTTATCATCCTTTAGATTTTCTCAAAATTTCTATTCGATCTGATATACCAAATTTTTACCAGACTTTAACACTTTCTAGTTTTTAACACTAATTCCATATCAAGAATATGATTTCTATAAAACCCTACTCTCAAGAGTAAAATGTCCATTTATGGAGAAAAAAAATCTTTTTAGAAAAATTACCATTTAGGTCCATAAACTTTTCCTAATTTTATACTTTGGTTACTAAACTTTCAAATTTTACATTTTGATCACTAACCAAAATTTTGAGGTATTACAATTCTTCCCCTTAAGAAAATTCATCCTTAAATTTTCAATACAAAGATGATGTAAACAAATGAATATACTGCTTTTTCATAATCTACTCTATTTTCCAATTAACTTTTTCAGCCTTTGATTTATCTAGCAAACTTTAATAAGTACTGATTTTATAAGTTAAACTTTGATTGAATCTTATTTTTCTTCGATATGATATCATGAGATGAATCTGATTGATACTTAAAAAAAATACTTATCACCAACTTAATAGAAGATCTATTTTCTTTTCAAATCTGAATGGTTATTGTTAATCAACAACTATCTTGAGATTATCTTGAATAATCTTTACTTGTTACAACATCCATTGTAACTCATTTCATTACATTTTTATCACATAATTATCTTGTAATTATTATCAATAACAACATAAGCAGGTGAGATCGTTCCCTCACCCACTACCATCTCATTCGTTCTCTCTCCTATAACATTATGCAAGAGCTTCATAATATTCTATAACTAGCCACTAAGTATATTATAACTAGCCCAACTCTCGATTTGGGTATAGTTTATTAACAACGAATCCCTAGTTGTTCTCATCGCATTTTCCATTAGTTCGCCCTTGAATCGGTAGAATAAATTACACATCTTTGATTATAGGTATCCACGTAGTACTTGTATTCCACAATCACTCTAGTTATGTCATTTATATTCTCGCTCGCTAGCATATCTTTTGAAACGATCATTCCTTCACAATTACTCAATGCACGTTTGATTGAAGAAACTCTGAAGTATTACGCTTGGTATGGTTACTCCGGTTGTAACCCACTCCTATAAGTGCTTTCGGGCCCCTTTGGCCATTTACGTCCTTCACGGACTAAGTTCTACCATTTCATATCATCTTTGACTCTTACGGGCCTTAACAAGGTCATAACTAACCATCCAAAGTGGGTAATATCGATAACATATTGTTAAGTATCGATATCCCTATGAGTATCAGTACAAAAAATGACTACTAGATTACAAAATTTACCCCCAGTATTGATATTGTTACCTCAGTATCATACCAGGGCTGTAATATCGATACTCCTCTCTAAAGTATCGATACTCCCCTTATAAAATGCCCAAAAATTGATTCATTTCATCCAATATCGATACTATTTGCCTAGTATCGATACCCTAACCCAGAAAACCCAGAAATACGCTTAGAAAACACTCAAGAATCCTAAAAAATACTCTAGTTTGGTCTCAAATCAACTTTAAAGCTTAAGGCAGTCATTTAGGGTTATTTAGAACCATAAAAGCACTACATTTACCATAAAAACGTCATCTAGACATAAATCAAGAAAACCCCCCAAATATGCTCAAAACCTAAATCTCCAACAAAGCATCTTATTTATAAAGTTCATAACACAACAAAGGATTAAAAATACACTACCTTAGCTAAGAATTCGAAATGAAGCTGTTTTAGATCAACCACACTTGCTCTCACCTTCTCCTTGACCTAGTATGCTCACCATCCACTTCCTCTTGCCCAAAACATAAAACAGGTTGTTGAATCACCAACAAATTTGTTGCAAATCTTAAGGACGAATTTTAAGACTAAATGGAGCATGAAAGATGCTTAAAGATCTTAACTTGGAGCTATGACACTTGGAAGGAAGAATGAGAAGGAAATGAAGAGAAAAAGATGAATGAGGATATAAAACTCTCATATTTTCACAAATGTTGGAGGTGGACTAGGTAAGTCTTCTTTGGTTTCCTCTTCCAATTCCAAGAAATGCTATCATTGCCTTATTTACATTAATGGATAGACTACCAACTAGGGATCGATTGTTGTGTTGGGGTTGGAATCGAGGGAAGTTGTTGCTTCTGTGTTGAGGGTTGGAATCGAGGGACCACATATTTTTTTGGTGTGCCTACTACGAGGAAGTGTGGAGGTGATTTTTGAAATTATGTCAGATTTCGAGAGAGGTCGCTACCTCGAGGGATGAGGTTGTTGGGCGATTGCAAAACTCAAGGGTAAACCGTTTATTTTAATTCTTCTGAGAATTTCTTGAAGTGCTTATATTTTCATGTGTGGAATGAGAGAATGGGGGAGCTTAGAGGAATGCAATTGAATTGATCGGGGTGATTAAGGAGGAGGTCCAATTGCGTTTATCAACCGTCGCTATTCGCTCGGGAGAAATGACAGACTGTGTATAGCATGAGGCATTGCTAGATAGTTTCTAGTTGGTTAGTTTGTCATGTTTGCTTTTATTTTGCTATTGGTTGGATAATTTGGTTGTGCCTTTAGGGGTTCTTTACTGTTAGTGGTAGCAGACTTTGCTTCGTTTCGGGTAATGAATTTTTAGCAATTATCAAAAAAAATAGTTTACAACCAAAAAGTTATACAATTTGTAATAATTTAAGTTATAACTAGAAATATTATGAAGAAAATAATATTTTCAGTTTTCAACCTAAAATGTTACTCTATACAAAATAAAAATTTATGATTTTTGATAAGATTTTAGGTTGAGACTGTATATATAGTTTTTTAATCGCATATTAACCAGTTTTGTTTTAGACTTTTCTCATCAAATGCGTTGATTTAATTCCTTCAAACGGAATCATAATTCTTTTAAAAAATTGTAAAAAAAAAATAAAAATGTGATTTTCGGTTCAGACGATAAAATGATTACCTAAAGAATTTTAAGAAGATGAGCCATCGACAGAAATAAAATACCTGTACGGGGCAAGAAAAAATAGTGTAGACACGAATAATTTTATGTAGAATTATTTAAATTTAATATAAATATTATATTTTCATTTAAAAAATATTTCAGTAAAACAAATAAATTTAAAGGGTTGTTGTATTTTTTCTTGTCCACATATTTTAGTTTAGAATTAGCATGTTTGTAATAATAGAAGATTAAAGAAAATAAAGGGTGGGGGGGGGGAAATCAATCTAACTATAAGGACGGTCAGAAAAAAAAAAGTTATAGCGGATTTTCCGGTGCAAAGGACGAATAAGGAAAAGCTGATGCTGTGCCACTTGGTAAGAATAGGGAACGTACGATGTACATGCAACGGCAGAGATTGAAACCATTAGTTGAATAGATTCATTGAAACTTGAAGAGAACTGTATAAACTGTAGAGAAATTCCCAGACATTTTCTTGCATCTTCGTCTTTTCTTTTTCCACTTTGCATTACTAAACAAAAACCGGAGATTTATATAGCGAGTTGTTGTTTTTATTAGAATTTAAAACGGAGATGGAAGAACCAGCAAGTTTTTGTCATAAGTGATGAGAGAGCGAGGTTCAGAGCAGTTCTCGTGGCGGCGCTGCAGGGGCTCTAATTTCGTGCATTATTGCTGGAAATTGAAGTGGGAGATAAAGTAGAAACCATAGTTTTTTCTTTCTAAATTTTTATTTTTTTACCCTAAAAGTTTTCTAACCTCAAAAAATGGAAGGGAAAAAACCCAGAAATCATAAAAGAAATTGAAACAGGCTCTTTGTATTGAATTGTAGTCATTGAGGGTGAGGGGTAGATATATAGCAGAAATAGCAAAGATCGGGTCAACCTCCCCCCCCCCAGACACACCTGATCTACAGACATTTCACAGACTAGCTTTAAAAATTGAACAGAAAAAGCTTCCACAGGAAAATCCAACCAGCTCACCACACTGGTGATCTAGCGGTGAAGGGTGTGAGGGGGCACTAAATAGGATCTTTCTGCTATGGACTTTGGGTCAAATTTTAGATTGGTTTCAGCTTCTGGGTGCAACAAATGGCTGGCTTCTTCTATCTAGGTGGACGAGAAGGAGTGAACAAACATCAAGGAGAAGATAAAGAGGAGAACCTGTATCTTTACAGAAACGAGGAGATCAACAGCAAAGGGTTTGAGATATGGCCTCAGTATTATTACCAACAGCAAACCGTCAACAACTACTCGTTTGGAGCGGGTCCTAGTCGAAGAGCCACTGGCTTTAATCTTTCCGATGAGTCTCCTTCGAGATCAGCAGGGTTTACGGTTACGAGGCCAGGAGGTATGAACTGCCAAGACTGTGGAAACCAAGCTAAGAAAGATTGTCCACATTCGAGATGCAGGACTTGTTGCAAAAGCCGTAGTTTTCAGTGCCGAACACACGTTAAGAGTACTTGGGTTCCTGCTGCAAAAAGGCGAGAGAGACAACAACAACTTGCAGCTTTGCAACAAACACAGCAGCAGCAGCAAAATCAACAGCAACAACACCAACTTCAGTTTCGAGGAGAGAATCCTAAAAGGCAGAGAGACAATCATGGTTCTTACTCTCTTGCCTGCACTCGTTTATCCCCCACCACATCAGGTAAACTTGTACTGGTTTACAATATACATAGATAAAATCAAAAACAAAGAAAAAGATCAATGCAAGATTTTTGGATTCTTTGAAATCGGGTAAATGTCTAGGATAGTGAATTTTCAAAAACCTCGTATGCAAACATGGCTAGAGAAAGTTTAATTTGGTTAGAGTCCAAAAAATTCCAGTAGCTGCTTGGAATACTAGTGAGTGTCCCAACAAGACTGTATCATTTGCGTGTGAGCAAGTCCACCTTCATTGTCACCCAACCAACTGCCTTTCCTTTTCTTCATTTTCCCCATTAATTCCTCCACAATTTCTGAAACTGACCATAATGTCCCGGAAAAAACCGGGAGAGAATTTAAAGAAATATTATTTATTTTCTCTTCATTTTATATAGTTTGAACTACCCATTTATTGTTATTATTTTTCATCTCGTCTGACTTCGAAAATTAGGGTTGGAAGTGGGGCAATTCCCTCCCGAAGTGAGTTCTGCAGCAGTCTTCCGTTGTGTAAAAGTAAGCCCTATGGACGATGTAGAGGGGGAGTTAGCTTATCAAACGGCTGTGAATATAGCAGGGCATGTATTCAAGGGAATTCTCTACGATAGAGGCCCTGAGGGTCGTTATACAAGTTTTGGCGAAAGCTCTAAATCACTCAACCTCATCACAGATGCGTCCACCACCGCAGCAGCTGCTACAACGACAATAATCACTTCTACGACAGGCGATCCAGCAACAAGTCTGCTTGACCCTTCTCTTTATTCACCTCCACCTAATGCTTTCGTTGCTGGTACGCAATTCTTCCCACCTCCAAGGTCTTGATTCCACAGTTCACAATGACCTCTGTACGAGCGGATCCCTTCATTTTAGCAAAAAAACAAAAAAAAAACCATTGTCTTTTGTTGTCCTTTTATTATTTAGTTTGTCAAATGTCATTTAACACCACCGAAGAACAAAACATTTGGATGAGAATAGAAACTTTTGAAGGTGCTTATGATATTGGGGACGTTGGATATTGTTTTGGAATTTCATTTCAGATTTTGTTCGGGTCGCTTATTAGTTCTTTGTTTTTGGGTTTGGGTGTAGTTAATGTAGCATGTGGATGCGTTTTTTTTTTTGGTGTGCATGATTATTATTATTATTTTTGTTTCTTTGTAGTTTTTCTTTATCCCCTTTTTCAGTATATTTTTCCCTTCTTTTTGTGGGTTTGATTGATCTTGAATTTGCTTTCGAGTTGGTGTTGAACTCGAAGCTGCTTTTACCCATTTATCCGTCTACATGCCGGATGGTAATGGTACATCAAGGTTTCGTGTTCGGCTAAGCAAAGAATTCTAATACTAGTACTTTTTTCTTTAATTTTTTAAATTTCGATAAATAATTCCGTGAGAGAGAGAAAAGAAGAAGAAAAGGAAGCCCATGAAGCAGCTTTACAAGTCTTCCATGCATTGGAATCCATTCCAAAAAGCAAAAACCGTGCTCTCTTTCTTTTTGAAAGGGAATTTACGTATTCTATACATACAAAAAATCTTTCATTGGCCATTTCTAGTAGCTACTGATCTATGCAAATAAATGCAGGCGTTTGAATAGACATGCATGGATATGACCCGCTGCTCGAACGGAAACCCTTGCTTATTATGCTACTAAGTATTAATGCTTCTCCGCACTTTGTGCATGCGATAATGTTGTATGTTTAGTCTGAAAATGATGATATAGACTAAGCTACGAATGTGTTCACGGATATCTAGAGAGATGCTTCTGTTTGTCTAGGTTTCTACAACTATTGCATTCGGAATCAAGGGGAAAAAGAGTTTGTGAAACTTTCAAGTTTCTGGCTCAAATATGTGCTCTGACCATCTTCATTCATGAAGATTAATATGAAACAGTAAATATTTAAATGTATACTTATCAATTAGGGTTTTTCGAACTGGCTGTTGTTTTTAGAACATGAATATAAAACAGTAAATTTTTAAATATATATTTTGGAAAGTACCCAGACAAAATAATGGGTACAGTATGAGAAGAGACTTGACTAGGGAATTATATTCATAAATCTCCAAAAGAGACGATGCATGTGCGAGGTCCAATGGGAAATTATAAACTTTGTTATATGGATCCCAATGAATGACAGCAGAGCTTGTGGGCTTCAACACGATTTCTTCTAGCAAATGACGATCACTTTCATAAATTAGATGCATCCCAAGAATGTGTACCTAATTCTTGAATGAAAGCAAGACTTTCCTGCACATCCCCACAAAAATACAAAAAAGGAAACCAGCTCCAGCTGTATACTTAACTCGTATATGTTGAAATTTTAAGGGTAAATTATACAAATGGTCCCTCAATTATAGGATGCTTTTTTTCGAGTCTTTAATTATTAAAATTTATAAAATGGTCCCCCAAATATAAAGCTCTATTTTGTTGAGTCTCATAACTTTTAAAGTAATAAAATGATCACTCGACTCTTCATATGTTTCAAATATATCATTCTTCGTAAAAAAAATGATGGTCGTCTCAATTGCACGTTAACCTACTAAATGAGATGTGATAAAATCATATTTTAATGATGTCAACTGGCATATTCGTTGCGTCCAAACACTCTCTCGATGAGATAATGTAAACGGAGGGTTGATCCACAAAATACAACTCAAACAATTTTGGGATAAAATTTTATCACATCAAATTCAACAAGCTAATGTTCAACTCAGATGCTCATAATTTTTAACGGAAAAGGACGAGTTTGAAATATATGAATAGTCAGGTGAAAATTTTGTAACTTTTAATAGTCGGAGGACTAACAAAGCAACAACCTATAATCAGGTGATCATTTTTTAAACTTTTTAATAATCTGAAGACTCAATAAAGAAACATCCTATAATCAGAGGACTCAATAATGAAGTGTCATATAATAGGGGATGATTTGTATACTTTACTCAAATTTTAATATAATAATTGTCTTTATTGTTTTAAAATTTAATTTTTTTAACTTTACGTGTTAAATTGCATGACATAATTATTCCAATGAATTTAAAGGTTAAAATTATCTTTAAGAACAAGATTATTGGAACGTTATATTATTTTGAAATTGTGATATTTTATTGTTTGGTTTATTTACCAGAAATGTAAAATTATAATGTTTAGTTGGAGGAATATAAAATTAATCAGATACATACTTTACAAAATTATCCTAGGATATATGTTTTCTTTTCAACAAGTTATACTTTGATATCAAATTATAAATATTAGAATAAAAATTCATAGAAAATTTTAATTGTTACACTATTTAACTTTTGAGAGAAAAAAATACATTTACTATATAATTAATATAATTAGTATATCAAATTTATATTTTTAAATATTTTTAAGTATAATTAATATAATTAGTATATTAATTTTATATTTTTAAATAGTTTTAATAAATATTGTATTTATTTATATAAAATATAATATAGTATGAAAAATAATGTTATAGTCTCAAGTGGACAAAGATATTATTTTTAAATGTATAATATTTATTTTTTAATAACTTAAAATTAAATATTATTTTAAATAATTATAGTTTTACAATAGTATCATTTTTTCACCTCATAAAATTGAAAATAATCAATATATTATATATTAAAATATAAAATATAAAATAATTTATCTATTTAAATTTATTAATATGTTCTAAATTAATTTTTTTACATAATAATAATATATAATTTTAAATAAATCACGAAAAATGTAAACCGAGAAGAATCTATATAAAAACTTTCATGATTACATAAATATTCTTATCCAAAACTATGAGTTATATAATACTTAAAAATTAAGAGACACTGACATTCTTACTATTCTAACAAAAACTACTAATCCTAAAAATAAACTATTATATGATAATAATCATTTTTACAAATCAAAAATAAAATTATAATTTTAAAAAAGATTATTTTTTTAATAATAATATTTTTCACAAATAAAATATCGATAAAATTCGGTCATTAAGCTTGTCAATCGACTTCTCAAACCCATAGGAAAGTTCTATAGTGCGGTACCCTTAATATACAACTAAAAAAATGTTACAGGTTTTGTTATTATTTAAATAAAAAAACCGGTAAAAAATTACTTAAAATATTATTATTTTTACCTAAAACATCAATATTTTTTAACATTTTTAATAAAGTATCCAACAATAATAAAATCGGTAAAAAAATAACAAAACTGATAGAAATAATAATGTATCTGATAATTTTTTTTAATTTTATTATTTAAATAATAATAAAATCGATAACAGATTTTTTTAATCATATATTAAAACTATTACACGTGATTATTTCCCAACCATATAATATTCCAGCTTCAACATAAATGTGTTGTACACCGTAGGTAAGATCAATTGATCATCTGTCTTATTAATAAAGTAACAAAAAAATAAGTCATAAGTCACAAGATTTGGCACAATAATTAAAGTCGTACAAGACGTTTTTTTGTTTCTTTCAACATTGATGGAGACTGCTGAGGCAGAAGATCTGAGCTTTGTCATATTTGAGGGGGTATTTTTTTATAATTAAAATAATATTATCTCAAAAATAAAGTTTAATTGTAAAATAAGTTTTTATAGTATATCACATTTTATAAATTTCTGTCTAATTTTTTTAAATATCAAGATACTTAATGTTATAAATATTATTATTTTAAATGTCATAATTATAATAATTATTAAAAAATTCCTTTAAAAATAATACATGTCACGTTTTGATAATTTTAAAATTATATTTTAAAATTACTAAAATGTGACTTATGTTATTTAACGAAGTTTAAAATATTAGATATTTGGATAATTTAAAAAAATTTAAATACCTATTTATGAAAAATGGTGTAGTTCATTTACTTATTTATAATTAAGCCCAAAAATAATTTAAAGAATTAATATTTTTAATAAAAACCATACGAGCGAAGTAAAATTAGGCGATATAGCTGACCTATGCTAACCTAGTTTGGTGTAATAATTTACCATCACGAGGCCCCAGTGTTGATATATTTCTTTACGGAAACTTACCAAGTTATTGAATTAACAGTTGACAGTGGAAATGAGAGTGTTGGTCGATTTATCCTTATCAACTAAGGGGTTAACCGGACAATAGGCAGATAGGGTTGTGAATTAAGGTTACAGTATTGGTTGGGGTTTTTCCGTAATAGGGCACTAACTATTTCGTCTAATAGGACACCTCAAAAATTAATTTGAGATCTATGATATTTTTTATAATTAAGGGCAAACTCATCATGTTAATGTGACGAATTCTATAGGATATAATTTTTATATTTTGGATCCAATATTTTAATATTTCATGAAACACGTCATTTTGAGGTGACAAATTCTATTAAAAATTATTATTTTTTCATATTATTATACAAATTTAATGTTGGAAAAAAATACACAATAATTCATCACGTCGATGTGACATATTCTGTTAGACTTTTTTTTACTGTTTAAAATGTGGTAGATTATGTTGAAAATAACAATAAATTAAGAACATTATATTAGACTTTCAGAAATGTACATTAGGAAGGAAAAAACTACAAACTTAATACATTACCATAATGACGTAAATATGACTATTTCAATCAATAAAGTGGAACATTGGAAGCAGTTGATGAAGTAGCCTCAGCGATATCAGATTCATCGATTATTGGTGTGTCATCATCCATTATAAGTGGAACAAAAGTTTCATCGTCCTCGCTAAAATCACCAAGGATTTCACCGAATCGCCCGACGAGGTTATCTTCACCTTCTGATGGTCATACTTATGCAGTCACGGTGCAGTAGTTGATGAAGTAGGAACATGTGTAGTTTCGACAATAATCTCAATCTTTGATTATTGGAAGATTGATGAAGACCAACCATAACAGCTACATCGCTATCATCATTGAGCATGATTGCTCCATATTTGAGCGGAGTCTCTAAAATGATGTGTCGATATTTCAAACTTGAAATCTAAGTTCTAATTTATTTTTCCGATTT